ACATTGTTATTCTCGTCGATAAACGTCTCAAGGGTCAATCTTAATGTTCGTTGTAATATAATATAGACACTAATTGTGTGTGTACGATAATTATTATAATATCTATGGCGGCCCAGTGGCCATCACTCGCGTAACGTTACAGAAACTATTATGTTAGATATACGTGTAATAATATATTGTGAGACGAGCGTATAACTATTATAAACTAGTTACGGTGTACTTATAAGTGAGTAATTACATTTTTATTAATAATTGTATTCGCCCATTCAATCTCGCATAATATCGTTTTGTACGTCGCACAAAACGTTTCGATTTACAGCCCGTGAACATGACGCGTCTATGGGAAGACGCCGAAATTAAAATCATAATAACAATAATAATAGTGGAATAATACTGTACGCAACGTTATTCGGTGGTCGAGAGAAATTCGGAATAAAGAACTATATCATATAGTCATTATAATAATACCTACGTACAGACCGTACAGTATAGGTATAGGTACCTATCTAATGTACTGCGTGTCTTCGTGTCTGCATGTTTTTTAATTCATAGTTGTACCAATAATAATTAACACGGGTGGCAAGTATTAGACATTAAAATTAAATTAAAATAAAGCATAAATACAACTATATTTTTCTACAATGAAATAAAATACACATCATAATTCATAGTTATACCTGCCGGCTCTGACTTACATTCTCACGTTCCGTAGCAACTAGCAAATGACAAGTTTATATTTATGTAACTATAAAAAAAAACAATTTTAAATGTTTTAACTTAATAACGTTGATTGATGGTGTAAAATCTTTGATTAAATCAATCACATTTTATAGGTACTATATGCACGCACAGGGATCAAAAATAAAAAATTGTCTGTATTCGATTTTCAAGACGTTTCGGCGACTGCCAAACAATGTCAACGGCATAAAATCAAGTGGCCTAGTCTTACGCTTTTATTATAACCGGTTCTTTGATATTTGATATTATAATAATATGTTATTGAATTTTAAAAATTATACTCAGCATTCTGCAATTACCTGTTTAACATTAAATTGAACGTCAATCACAATCGTAATTTTATTATTTGTGAAATCGTCCTAAATAATGCGTTAAGATGTACAATTTTGTATTACAATCAAAAAAATATACTTGAATAAGACATAAAGTCACATTGCGAGTGGTGTTTTTATTTTATTTTTTTGTTTAAACTAGTTGACGATTATGCATGAGTATTTTTCTAAAAAGTGTATTTATACATTAAAAAATAAACTGTTTGGTAGGTATACACTATACCTATTATGAAATGTATGAAATAATTTATGTTTTCTTAAACCATTAAAAAAAGTATGAGTATCCCTAACTTAAATTATAATCATTGGACATAATAGCTCTGGTAAGTATTAATAATTATTTTATAAATAATACATTTTTTAAGCTTTTTATGAATATTTTTAAAATATGGGTCATATACAAATATTCAAATATCTGGTCCTCTATTTATTTATGTTTGCCAAAAAAGTATACACTGAGATAGTACGGATATCCAATCCTTTAAAAATATATTGTACAACTAATTGATTTAAAAATTCTAATCTGAAATAGAAATTGAGCGTTCGCAAACGTTTCTAAAGTTATTGGTGTATAACTGATCCCAATAATTCTCGGGTGCTCCATGATAGGTTTTCTTAAATATAGGTATACTCGTAATCTAATATACCTGCATATTACACTAAATAATAATACGTACTTTCATAGAGTATGTGTATCAGTTTACCACAATTTACAAACGAATCGAGCGCAATTACTCATTTGTATCCCATGCAGACGTCGAATAGAAAATCATTTTTGCACACGGCCCACGGGCGATTATCAATAAAACGAAATACTTCAAAGTTCAACACAGTTTAAGCGAGTGATTTTTTTTTTTGCAAACAACACTATAATAATACTATTACGGCGGCTTTCTATTCTGCACGATCATTATTCGCCAACCCGGCCCGGTAGTGTGGAGTACCAACCTATATATAGGTAGACACATTCTGGCAATCCCACACCAGATGATTGGCCTGAAGCCCCGAGGAGACCGAAAACGGCGACGTTCGCCCATTAATTATACGTGCGCACAATAATAACATGATCGATATAATACGCGACGTCTAAGAACGGGTTTCGTTGGTACATATAATATATACGCACATAGAAGAGTTGTGATTTTTCGACTGGAAAGCCGGAAGAACGTGACCTGACTCAGCGCGTGCGGAAGTATATCCGGCGAGGGAATCGCGGAAAACAACCCCCGATTGTTGATTATTTCGTGAATGGCAAATTACGGGAAACGGAATGGAAAACAACGAGACGGTGTATGGGAACGAAAAATAATAATAGAGTAAAAGAAGAAAGAAAACCACTATATATACTACCCTTATTTCGAATGCTACTCAGCGGCTCCAGCTAATGCGACAAGTTTTCCCCTGAATGACGACGGGGGTAACAAAGCGAACGAATGTGATTGAATATTTCCCAATGAGACATATATTCACCTCACATTCTGTTATTATCGTGTATAACCATTGTAGTAGGTATAGGTAGTTATTGGCATACGAGTGGTGGGTGTGTGATTTCTGATACTCAAAGACTGCCCTTTGAGACTCGCCGTTATATTGTTTCTTTCATTTTTCAATGCTTATTGCAGTGTTCAAACAAAATGCTCTGATAACTCATTTCCAATGCCATTTCCGCATATATTAGGTATGATTGTAATTATTACATTAAGCAAAGACGCATATTAAGCTTCACTTCAATTTATTTTTAACCATCATCGTGGTAGAAGTTTCTAAAACGATTTATGCTACCTACTCATAAAGTCATAAATAACATTTAGTGAAATTTGAAAATTATGCTAACTGAAAAAATGATTTATGGTTAGTAAAACAATAATTATTATAACTTTATGTAAAAAAATATAACTTTATAAAATGAAAATAAATACTATATATTATATATCAGATATTTGCGACACATGCCAGAACATATACGTAAACTTTCATAAGAATCACTTTTTAATGAAAGCAATTCAAAATTAATATAGAACACACGTCTAAACACTAAATTACATTATCTAATAAAAATATAAATCTAGTTTTAATATTATAAGTATTCTAAGAGTATGAATAACTTGTTTGAAATGAAATAACGATATTTTTTATAATTTAAAATTTAAAAACATAATAACCTAATAAAAAATACAATTGTTTTAAAGGTATTTCAATTTATTTTATTTTTTGAAAGATACAAGAAAAGGAATGAAAATCAGTGGAATATGATATCTGTACTTTGGTAACTGAAACTGTAAATCGCATAATTTAGTTCAAAGCCTAAGGCAAATAAATAATAGTCTCATTTTCTTATAACCCTGGTTCAAACATCTACTGGTTCATATTGAATGTATTATAATATTGAGTTAATATACATAAACATTATGAATGTATATATTATAATATGGTTGGAGATAACTTCTTATTATTTTTCATGGTTTATGATGTCATTCTGTGTAATCCTTTTGCTAACAATAACTTTCTTCAGAACGCAACATCAAAGTTCAAGTTTAAATAGGTATTGTAAACATAATTTAAATTACAATTCTCAATTATCTTATTTACTGTATTTTAATATTTTTCAAGATAACATATAGTTATTTGTTTTGTTATATTATCTCGTACGGTCGTAAAACAAATTTAAATTTGAATTAACCATTAAAATCGATAGAAATTACCGTAACAAGTACATTACATTATTCCTTTCTAAGTATTGAATATCCATTCAATATGTAATATTAATAAAGTTATTATTTAAACAACCTTATCTGATACTATCGTTATTATTTTAATGAGTTGTAATACAATAATTTGTCAACAAACCAAATTACCTACGATGGTAATAAGTACCATTATAAAAGGATAAGTCACGCTCGAAAGCGGAAATGAGATCTGTGCGATTAAGAAAATATTCCGTTCTAGACGCATTAACATTTATCTGATTTGAAATATTGCATTATTATTACATTGCTTTTCTTGACTTACTAACTCCCCCCCTAAATTGTATTGCCACGAAATGATTCCTAAGTATTTAAAATAAATAACGTAATTAGACCGAATAAACTATTGTTCAGTAAATCTTAATTAATAATTTATTTATTATGAATAATATTATGGTATATGAAATTTTTATATTATAATATTTTATACGTTAGCCTGCATCACTTAATATATTGATGAATTTAACACTTTTATTTATACATAAAAATGTCATTTTTATTTATAACTTCTACAAGGGAAGAAGTGATAGAAACTGAATAAGTATGGATATGTTACGTGTAGTTACACTGATGCGATAGCCCTTAAAAATACAATATATTTATAGGCACATGAATTATTATATCATTAAACAGTTTATATTTTAGAGAATAGTAAAATACACTGAATTTTGTAATTTTTTATTTTTAACTGCAAAAACAAAACATATTTGTAACCATAGAAAAATGTAGGATTAATGGTAAGTTCGAAAATATTTTTAAAAACAATTCCCCGTATTTCCTACGGTACTGCAGAAGGCGGGTATTTATATATTTTACAGGAATGGTGAAAACTCGATATTTCTAACCATTCTCAGCGAGCCGCTCATCCCTTCGAACAATTATTGTGTTTATCAAAAAGTTATGGCTTGGTCATGGATAATTATAAATTACGGATGCTTGATGAACATCGATATTGACTTTTTCTTCTTTTCTTACGATCTACTTGGAATCAATGATCTAATTTGGTATTCTCATTATACTCGCGGTGTACTGTACTGCTGAATCTTCTAATAGCATTCGTCCCTAATTCCTGTGTCTGGCGGCAACAGTTTACGTCAATATAATAATAATGTATGGTCGTGTACATGGCACGTGGTACAGGACGACTATTATAGGGGTGAGAGTTAACTGTACGGCGATATTTTACCTGTATCAATCGAAAATCCATGATGTGTCCTTTTGCAACGCAGACGCGTGTGTATCGATAACTAGCAGGAACTCTCTGCAGGATCGTTGAAGGCTGGAAGGTCGATATCCGAACTTCGCAGCTTTCGGGTGAAAATTTCTTTCGGAATTAATTTAAAAATAATAATAACCGACCGAATATCATCCGGATATTGTCTTGCGAAGGGTTCGGACGACGATAAAAACGCGCAATCGCACACTCCACGACGATCTCGCGGGAGAGAAAATTGTTGTTTATTAAGCGGCCGTTAGTGCGCGGTCGGTCATCGCGCGATCGGAGACATAATGAACCGGACCCGACAGTCGGGAAGGCTATTTATACGACGGCCGCGGTCGAAACGGTACGGGCCCACGGAGCGGACCATCCGGTGGCCCGAGTGGGAGGCCGTGTAAATGTACATATATTATGGTTATCGTAATACCGCGTTATACGGACGGTATCCACTGCGACCAGGCTCGAGGTAGAGGTAACCTCGCTGCCCGCAGGGGAGTCGATCCGGCTCGGCGGTGGACGAAAGAGAAAGTATGTTTTGGGTGCGCACGTGTGTGTGATCCGATGCGTTAGTATGTGTACATACATGCTTGAGTACAAGTTTGTGCTTATGCCTGTGTGTGTGTGTGTGTATGTGAGATAGAGAGAGAGAAGAAAGCACGAGAGGCTGCGGCCTTCGAAGACCTCCCCAGCCGACGACCTTGAACCGGAGCGCCGGTTTTCAGTGGTGCATTGTAGTCGATCTTCTTCAGTCTCGGGTTTCAAGGACGTGATTATTATATCGATCGACTGCTATAAAAATTGTCAGCGATATACCTCAGCTATTAAAAAAGTATGACTATTGGCTAAAAAAAACTAAAACAATTTATACGACAGATTTTTAATGGAACTATAATTTTTTTCTCGAGAAGAGTCGAACACAGGATATCATCGTATTATAGTCGTTACTTGTTTCTACGTGTTTGTTTCAATCTGATGATTTGAATGCCATTTATCTGCCGATACGAATTCTAACTAATAATTAACTTTAAAAAAATGTATTTAAGTTTCAGATTAATACTACAATTGGTTATTTAAAATATTATGGTACTATTTTTTAGTATCACATATGTAATCTATTATAGAAATGACGTGTATGATATACACCCGATATTTTATAGAATTTACGAGAAAGTAGAAATACATGTTAAAGATTGAGTGTCATTTACTACAGTGGACTACAAGAACTGGAGTCATTGAATTCTATGTTCGTGTTATTGACTCCCAAATACAGTTTAAGACACTAGTCAGTGAATAAAAATAGTCACTTGATTATAGCCAAACTTTGAAGGATACGACATTTATATCAGTTAATAATAATAATATTAATATGAAATCAACGGGTGTTCATAACAATTATAACTTAAAAACGTTAATGCATTATTTTTTTATTAAAAATGATTTCAATTAGTGCTCGAGCCCTGAGTTACTTTTTAACGACATTCCTATCTGTACTTACTCTCTTATTTCGTTTAAAAATAATGTTAACCCAATGGTTTATTATGTGCCCTGGGTACCTGGGTACATTTTTGGTCTTAGAATTTATTTTTATCCAGATTTGTTAGTACCTAGGGCTATGAGTGGCTTTCAATTTCATGAATTCTCTAAATATCATGTATTTTACAATATTATACTTTAATTTAATTATGCTTAATTGTATAACAATCAAATAACGTTGAAAGTCTTAGACCTTTTTATGACGAAGTAGATAACCAGGTTTCTATATTTAAAGGAATAAAAAGTTTAATAGATTTTTTTTAAAAAAATCGACAGTATATAGTACAAATAGTAACCATTATTATCTAACGAAAAAACATAGATAAAAAATATTGCAGGTGTTCGGGTACCTACACCACCATTACAAGTGTTTATTTTTCCAGTCGCATACAGGTTAAGAAAATATATTTATTATTTTTAGTGACGTAAAAATATCATCATCATATTGTAACTGAGGTTTTAAGAGAATATTATTCCGACTTGTGGTAACAAGTAATAACTATAATAACCAAATTATGGTAAGCCCATTCGTATGTTCAGAGCACACAACTGTATACATTATTACATTATGTAAGCGCCTATTTTACAAAATAATTTAAATAATAGGTATATCTGCGTTAAAATTGCCATTAAAAGTTTCATTGCGCACGAAAATCACTTTTTTTTATACAAAATTACCAGCACTTAAAGGAGAGTGTAAGCTATAATATTCAAATTATTATTAAACGTATAGTTTTTACGTGTCGAAGAAATACTTAACAAATTATGATAAACCGTAAATTACATGTCGAACAAAAACATTTTGAAATAACCTAACCTAACAATTGTTTGAGTATAATATTATATCCATTGAAACACATACCTACATACAGTACAAAACTAAAAATGTTATGGGTACTAATGTTCTATAGGTACCAAAACTAATAATACTGGCAGTTCGTAGGCAAGTACCAGATATCAAATGACCAGAGAGACGCTAATTCGTAAACGACGCGTAGATAATTTTCCAAAATAATAATAAAACTGGCAAAGGTAAAAGTAATAATATTATAACTAATAAGTCATACTATATAATATTAGGTACAGTAAAATATTGACATTAATGTGATTGTACAAACAATAATCAATTGTTATTCTGAAAAAAAAAACCGTCCACCGCTGTTACACAATTATAATATAACGACATGCTAAATTACATATTACAGTATGTGTTATAAATGGTACCCCGGGGTGTGGACAATTTTACAACCATAGGTTTTTTTCGACATTTATTGTCCGTACATTTCTTGTAGCCTCGAAGTCATAATTTTATCTCTGAACATTATCATCATGTGCCAGTCATAATTATTACTATACATTACATATCCACTAATATCATTTTATTATGCGGACGTCTTAACCATATTGATATCAACATGGCGACAATGAACATATTATTATAACGCTTTAACAGGTGTTAGAAAAAGTAGCTTTCGATTTTTTTACGAGTGAACTATAATGTGCAATTGTTTGTGTAGCGACTTTATTATGCAGGTATGTAAATAGCAAAGTGATAACATATTAGTAACGCACTATTCGAAGGGAACATCCTTAATTTTTATATTATTATATTACCATAATTAAAATTATTCGCTGTTAACGATTTCAGTAATTTATTGGACCATAGCACAAGTCGCAACTAACTATTTTATAAACCTATATTGCAAAATATCTATTATATCGCGGTATATAACATAGAATATATTATTAAATTAAAAATTATGAATTATAATAATCCACTAACAATTATTTTTATTTAATCATATGATATCATATAATCTACTATCTATTTTTTGTCATTTTTAACATAGATAGGTACTAGGTACTTTATTATATTAATGCTTTATAAGAAATTATAAAAAACATCAAGCTTAGATTTTCAAATGATAATCCTAGTTTTTTTAATGGTATATTTTAATATAGTTTTACTAAAAAATATAAATATTAATGTACCTACTTAATGAAAATAATTTAGTAATGTCTCTCACATATGTTTAACAATAATTAACTATGAAACTGAAACAAATAAAAAAAATCGCAATCTGCCAGCGTGTAATTATACAAATTTCTTGCTCAAGGATCCTATAAAAAACCTAAGATTATGTTTATTAGTCTAGTAATTATTACTGTGTTATTTTAAATGTGATAGTAAAAATGAAGACTTTTTTATGAATAAACATAGGAAGACGTAAAAGTAGAGTTCGTTTAGTATATTTAGCAACTTAAAACGGTACCGAAAAAATTAAAATATAATATAAAAATATTGGCTCGTCAATAAAAAAAAAAATGAAAATATCATCTTTCAAATCATCCTAAGTGCAGTACATTAAATCGCTAGATGTATAACAACAGCAACTATTCATCATTCCGGATGATAATTTTCTTGCTTTTAGAGTTATAAAGTTAAACATTTGCTCATATATTTATCATAGGCATTTGAAAGCGAACCGCATGTACAACAAATACATTGCAATCTTATTGCAATTCCTTCAAACACTGGAGATAGGTACCGCGGCTAAGAGCAAAAAACAAAATATAGTAAAGTTTGAATATAGATTTAAATATTGATAAAAGTCTATAATATGGTGTGAATAAAACATATTATACGTTTTATAGTATTGTTCGGTAGACAATTATGAGAGTAACGGATTTCGCAAGTTACTAAGTATGTTTTTGCGTTAAAGTAAATCCATTGTTGGATATAATAATACAACGAGATTCCACATCTAATTTATCTATTAGACAAATACATAGAATCACACCACTCGTAGTGTGCACTCAAACAGTATATTATTATTATCATTATTGACTGTTGACGGTTTATGCCTTTTTTTAATTACTGCCGAAATAATCATATACAAAAACGTGCGCTTAGGATAAAATAATATTATTGTATAAGCCAATTTTTGTTTGGTCCAATGCACGCGAAACTATATCATAATACTCGTTTTTCGAGTTTCATTAACGTTTCACCGTATTTTTTGAAACGGAATAAATTTGCATCACTTTGTAGTTCCTGCAACGCTATAGTACGGTTAGGTCAGTAGGTTAGGAGGTACATATAATACGTGGTTGACGTGTCTTCTTCAAAAAAACATTTCAATATTATAATAGGTATATAATTAAGTAGCGATGTTCCGACTTCCAAAGACACATAGATAGATAGTGTTACGTGCAATGAAAACATATGATTTGAATCAATGAACGACTTTGAACTTTAATATACTGGTTCACTTTAAATCTTTAATTAATAACTAATAAGTACATTACATATTATTATATTATGCCGTTGCGCGGAGAGCGCTATATGTTCGCTACGCCGTCCGTATTACTACTGACGAGTGCTTATCTGGGTACATCGCAGGTACCCAAGATAGTCGCCGAGCATATCGAACAGATAGTAATATTCTAATAATGTTTAACATTTGATACAACTTATAACGATGTCGGCTGAAATACATTATAAATTAAGCCACGACCCGTGATAAATATACCTATACCTAGGTACAATTAAGTAAAAGCTTGAAGAGATTACAATATTTTAAATCGCGTTGTATCGTATAAGCAAATTATAAAAATTGAAAATATAAAGCAAATAATTGTAAGTATAAAGACCAAAGACTATGTTGTTGATAACGTTTAAACCGTTTTTGAACACAACTATATGCGAGTGGATGACCTATAAGTATATTTTAGACTATTATTAGTGTCAATGTTCACAATGAGATA